TCTTCTTCTCCAAAAGGCACCGTTTCCTCCTCTTTTCCCCAATTATACAATTATGTTCGTATTTTATGATTATTACCATATACATATATATATAAATATAAGAATTTTTAATCCAATATTCAATTACTACAGTTATTAATTTGTAAATGACTTTTCATTTGGAAGATTAAATACAAATTTTTTATGAAAACAGTCTATAATGGCGTGATACACCGCTAACCAGTTCTTTCTCAGAATTACATCAAAATCTCTCATGTCTATCTCTATAAGTTTTATACTCAATTCCCTATTGATTATCTCTACAATACAAGTTTTGTATATGACCTCCCCTAGTAGTGTCCTATGTTCAGGAGTAGATATAAACAACACATAATTAAGATTTTCAGGTGACACATTCAAATTTTTTGTAAAAGCATGTGAGACAAAAGAATGTGAAGTACCAGTATCAATTAAAACATATGCAAGGTGATCATAGATAGTGTACGTACTATGTATCACGTCTGAATTAGTTTCAGCATCCTGTTGGGTAAGAGTGTAAGCTCTACCTTGGATGAGAGGTCTGACATGATTCTGATTTCATGGGCACTCTCTCGCGTAATGGTGGACATTTTCACATATGCGGCAGGTATTGTTGAGGTGATACCAAAGTTAGTCTCCATGATCTTTTTCATAATGCTGGCAAGTCCTACCACGTCTTATTGCCGGGACTTGAGAAGGAGCTTGAGTCATAAACCTAGATCTCTTGTTCTGCTGAACCGGTGCAGTAGTACTGGTCTGCTGTGTGGAACCGAGGGTATGGGAAATTGTAAACTACTGGAGGAAAGATATGAAGATTTCTCTCAACTAGCTGTACTTTAGCCAGAACTATTGTATAGGTGCTGAACTCGAACACATACAACTGTTGCCTAATCTTAAAACAGAGGCCCCACTCAAACTTTTTTTGTCTTTCTGGCTTCATCCATCACACTATCAGGGGAATACCAACCTAACTCTAGGAACATTCAGACATACTATGACACTGTCATATCGCCCTAGACCAGATGTGTAAACTCCATTTCCTTCAAATATCGAAGATGCTCTGAATGATACTCCATATTGAAGGCTACTAGGAACTGTTTCCAAGTGACTGGAATGGGCAGGGTGGCCTGCTTCAACTGCCACTAGTGAGCTGCCTCACCCACAAGCATGTAGGTGGCAAGTACAACTTTCTATTAAAAACCACCCAAAGAGTTGCGAAGAAATTCTCTGTCTCTGCTAACCAATACTCGGCCTCTTCGAATGAGGATGTCCTTATAAAAAAAGATGAGTTTAGTTTCTTGTACCTCTCAATGTAGCGTAAGCCCATCATGGGTAGAACTAGGTCCCATAGAAGAGGGACTGGATTATGCTGGAGAGGGGTCGGACGACCCTGTGGCAGTACTTGGTTGTATAGTGGGGGCACCAGATTGTATTGTGGCAGTGTCATATGATATGATGGAGGAGCAGGGTTGTATTGGAATGACACCGGATCTTTTCGTTACAGGGTGGCTTAAACTGTAGCAGAGGTGGAGGGTCAGATATCTCCCTCCTTTCTTTTTGGGCTTACTGGGAAGAGATTCTCTCTAGTATCTTAAAGAGTCGATCGACATCCTCTCAAAGTGATCCATCTCGGGCTGCTCAGTTTAGTGAAGGTTTTCATTTCTTTATATCATTGTACCTGCATTTCACAATAAAGGGTTGAGTATCGGGTTGTATTCTAATATTTTTAAATCTCTGTGTAAGGAATGGTTTCGAGGAACGCAGTTCTGATACCAACTGTAAAGGTCTGAACCTTAAGGAAAGGAATATATAGTAACATAGTGAAAGAAAATAATATTTAGGATTTATATTTCTTACACATGTAATTTAGACTGATCAATACGGTTACTGGAATGTATCAGTTAGATAAGAATTAAAATAATAGAACATAAATGAAGCTAAAATCCTATGGGATTAACCTCCACTAATAACTTGATGAGGTCCGGAAGGTAATCTTTACTCGTAACCCTCCTGCTGTTCAGAATCTGGATCTTGATCTTTTTGATATGAAATATTTAAATAGGGGGATGAACTACACTATCCCGATAAAAATATCACATTAATCACTGATACGAAAAATCGAAGGTTGATAAAAATTATAAAGCAACTAATTGAGCTATTTGTTTTCTTAAATAAATTCATTTAATATAAAATCATTTATTTCATACTTACTATTACAATTTTTCAGAATCGACCTATAAGGACAATAACTCAAATAACATTACGATTTCATATATAAGTGAGCAAGAACAATAACTTTTCTTTTTACTTGTTTACTAGTACCTCTGGGGATCCATATGGATATCCCTTTACGTGTGAACCCATTATCCAAATTTGTCAATTAACCGGTCGTCCTCATACCCCGTCCAATAATAGGTGCCAAATATGTCATTGCCTCGACGCCCTGTTTGATTTGAGGGTGAGCTATATTTTTCAAACTCTTTCGGTATTGGACTTCTCAGCCTTGTCCAATTGAGGTAATATCTATAGTAGGATTCCCTACGTACCGGGTCCGTCCACCTTTTTTCAAGGTACCTAACAAGGTTTTCATACATAGATTCACATAATTAACCAATTATCAGTTACATACCAATATCTCATATTACATATCAAAGGTAAGTCATGCAAATAGACAATACGTACATCAAGAAATATAATTGAGACATTTATTGCAAAACAAATCAACAAATGAGGGCTATGCAGTTAGGTAAATTAAATAATTGATAAGACAATTAAAACTAGCAATTAAATGCACACAATATAATAGTAAACATTTTAAGCAGTACAGGAGAAAATAAACAATAAACGAAGATAAATATGCACTAACCGATTCCGACTCCATTAGTGACATGTAATAATTTTTAGGATTTTCTAATTTTTACAAAACATAGTATTATCGATTTTAAACTTTAATTTACTATAATAGAAAAAATAGTGAAGGATTCTTACCCTGATTGGTGTCCGAAATACTGTACTTTCTATTGTGTCTCTTAGTGGCCCCTTGGATTTTTTAAATTTTTTTGCAAAAATTAAAATACTCGCCACATATTCCAAAAGGCCAAAGTATGAGTTAAAAAACCTTTTTTGGCTAATTTTAAGATTCTGGCGCGGCAGTGTCGCTGTGCTCCAGTGCCGGCTCTACTGCTGACGGCGGTAGTTTATCTTGACCTGGTCGGTTTTAGCTAGTTTTGGCTGATTTTGGCCGATTTTATACATAAACCTATAAAACAAACGAGTTAGGAGGTCTCGGTTAGCCGAAAAAAGTAAAAAACTGAAATCCTACCGGCTGAAGGTCTCCGGATGCGGCGGCTCCACTGGTCCTCTTTCGCGGCTGAAGTTCTGATTCGGCTAACCTGCACCAAAAAAGGACGGTGAACATGTTGATAAAAAAATCACGCGAAACAAAAAACAGAAAGGGGGTTATCGGAGAGGGTTTTGGGTTTTGGCCGCGGCAACTTGACCAAGCTTTGTCCGCAATTTTTCGGCTTACCTGTCGACTCTATTGCTTCGATCTGGCCATAGGGAGACTTGGGATTGGATTCTGAGTGAGAGGAAAAAAATTTTACTTTTCTTGGCGATCGGCGGTGGCTCCAGTGCGGTGGTGACGGTAGTGTCCCTCCGGCAGCTGGTCTTCCTTCCGACTGCCTTCTTCTTCTTCTTCTTCTTCTCCGGCTGAGTGTCGGCTAGCGTGTTGGTTTCCTGCGAGTAGGAGTTTAAATACTCATCTCCATCCGATCCAGGTCACTATTTCAAGTCGACGTGGAGCGAGGAGGACCGTTTGATGATTTTTCATTTAGGTCGATTGCGTGGACGAATCTGGACTGTCCATCACGATCAATCTCGTCTGTTTGATCACGTCTAAAGAGAGAATGCATCTATATCGTTCGTGCGTGCAGGATGCGATCTGGGCCATCGAATCACCCAGGCACGTAGATCGCTCGTGTAGCCTCCCGCGTGGAACCAATGTTAGCGTACTTGCCACGCAGTGTGTCCTGGTTTGTCGTACCTGCTAACTGGGCTATCCTACGTGGCCAAACTTTTTCTTTTTGCAATTTTACCTCATGTTTTCAAATTTTCTTTAAAAAATACCCCCCATATTCATACATTCACATTTTTTCTTCAGAATTATTTTTAATTTCGTCCCTAATTTATTTTTTCTCAAAATTAAAATTAAAATTAAAATTTAATTATTTATATATATATTTTATAAATTGAAAAAAATGATCACGAGTCAAATTTTCGGACTCGAATGTTACAATATGTATATATGTGTGTGTATTTTAGAAAAAGCTTTCATAATATATATATGTATACAATGTATTATGTATGATTCTATTAGCAAACTTAAATAATATTTTAATTTCAAAGTAGCTATACATTTTAATTTAAATTAGATATTTTTGTTATGTTTTTTCAATATATGAACATAGAAGATTGATTAATTATTAAATACTAGATAATTAAAATTTAAAAATTAAAAATTAAATACGTATAAAATATATTTCAACTAAATACAACATACATTATAGAATTATAAACCGTATTTTTTACATATTATTTATAATAATTTTTCATAATTTATAATAATTTTTGTCGATATTTTTTAGATTTAAATAGTAAAACTTTATTAAAATCATTGAACCAAATGTCTTTTCATTTTTTTTCAATATATTAAAATTTTAAATTATTATAATTATTACAATTAAAAAAAATTAATCGTTTAAAATATTTTTTTATTTAAAAATATAAAAAAATTTATTGAAACTTATCTCAAATCAATCATTACAATTCCATTAATATATTAATAAATAAAAAAATTTAATTATACTGAATTAATTATTATAAATTAACCTATATTACAGACACAAATAATGTTACATAAGTGAGTTTACATTAAAAATTAATTATATTAAATTGTATGCAACAAATACAAATAATTTCATTTAGAATGATTTGTACGGATGTAATGTTGACTACGCATAAACTCTTATGAAGACCGGAAGCGGGTGGCAGGAGGGGTTCGTCCAAAGGCGGCGTTTTTAGGGTTAATGTCAACGACACCAGAATGATGGGAAGAAGAAGAAGAACTGAACAACAGGTTGCTTCCTCGATAACAACAAAAGGGCCTTCCTTTTTCAAGGTTTTGATCGGTGATTTCGCCAATCGCTTGGTATATATATATATATATATATACACACCTTACCTCTGTCTGTGAGTGTACATATATTCAGTTGACTTGAATAAGTGTATATATTTGCATTTGGCAATATACAAATATATATAGATGAAAACCCAAATAGAATAACGTCTTCACATGCTTCCAACAATTTTATTATATAATGTTCTTTTTGTTGTTATTATTTTTTTAATTCCTAAATCACCATGTTTTTTTTTTTTATCACCTCTCTAAATGTTATCTGTACAGTATTTATCTGGGTTCTCTTCCTCTGAAACAATACAACAAAGGAATGGAGTCTTCTGGTCACTCCTTTCTACCACTCCTAGGTTAAAGTTCAGTTTCTCAGGTTAAAGAATGAGAAAAATGTGATGTTTCTGAGGCACATGTCTTTACTTTATTATGATTACATCAATAACTTAAGTTTACATCATATGCTCCTTCTTTGTTAATCAACAAATTAATCATATATATATGGTGGATGTATTTGTTGTATATGTAACTGTTTGAATGGTTTTCCATTCCAGCAAATTCCACCAGCTTTTGTCAAGAGTTACCCAGGAATTATACCAAGCAGGGGACAGATAATACTCTGTGATGCTAATGGGGGATCATGGCATGTTGATGTTTTACAAGAAGTGGATGGCTGTTTCATTCTCGGAACTCGATGGAGTTCATTTGTGCTTGATAATTCTCTATTGCCCCATGAATTTTTAACTTTCAGATATACTGGGAACTCAAAATTCCTAGTTAAAATTTATGGGAAAGATGGCTGTGAGAAGAACACTCTGCCTCCTGCTTGTCAACAAGTCAACCCAGATGAGAAAGCAGTGACTCAAGATAAAGAAACTGGAAATACAGCATCTCCAACTGACCCAGATGATGATGATGTTCAAATCCCAGAGCCAGAGATTTCAATATCGGATTCGTTCCAGTCCAGACATCCTTTCTTCAAGGTTGTTATGGGCAGAACTTATGCTCATGTCGGTCAAGTGGTATGTATATATACTCTTTTCCCTTTATCCTTCATTATTTTCAATCTCCTGCAAGACATAATTGCACGGAGCGTAATTCCTACTAGATAATAAAATATATTGACACGTATTTACTAATTATATCATCTGCAATCATCTGAATCTCAAAAAAATCGTTCAACCAATCATAAACTTTATTTAAATAGGTAAACCAAAAGGATATAAGGAGATATGTTCTATCAGGATTTTTTTCCATATTGGTTGTCAAGAAAAATAGGTATTCATGCTAGGAAGAACAGGATTATACAAAAAAGCTGGATATGAGTCATTGTTAGAATTGGGTTATAATGCCAACAACTATTTGTTTTGTGTAGAATATACCAAATGTATTCTTTAAGAAATATATGGGTATCAAGGCGAAAAGTGTGGTACTCCGAGTTTCAGAGAAATCATGGACTGTGAATTTTGTTCCTTATTCAAATTCTTGTGGCAAGTTCCATGGAGGTTGGCTAAATTTGTCAAAGACAATAATCTGCAAATTGGAGATGAGTGTATCTTTGAACTCGTTGATGATCGAAACCTTATGTTTAAAGTCTCCATCTTCTCAAGTTCCTGTTTAGATACCTAGTTATTGATGCTTCTTGTAAATCAAAAATTCATTTTTGTGTAACGATTATGAACAATCGATTTAGTTAAGTTCCTATATAGTTTTTATGATGTTTATTTTTGGTATATTCCTGTTTTTCTTTCGACTTATGTAAGTTCCTTGTGTTTAGTAATCTAATATTTACTAATCTAATGTTGTTTAATGGGGAAACTTCACTAGTTCAACAGCATCTGCCCATAATTTTATGTTGGTTTGATGTATATTTAGTTTATGTTTTTGCAAGGTAAGTTTTAGATTGTGAATGGTATAGGTTATGGTTTTGTATATTAGGATTAATGTAAATTGCAACTTTGTAGTTTTACAGATTAATAAAAATATACTCTGCTTTGTATATCATTAATTCATGTGCAGCTTACAGCATTGTTCACCCCTCTCTGTTTTACCCTCTTTGTTTCTTCTTCCTTATGTGTCAGCAGCTGGAGATTTATATACAGATTTTTAAGCTTTATTAAGATCGGCTTATCATCCATTTAAACCAAGTAGAAGGCAGACAATATATATATATATATATATATACATTTTTAGTGAAAAAAAGATTAAAAGTTATATTAGATTTTTAATTTGTTATGATTAAAATAATTGTTTTAATATTTTATTTTATTTTATAAAGAAATTAATTTTAAAAAAAAGTAATAAATACTACTTTTCCCTAATTGAATAACAATTAAGGTAGTATTAGATTAATTAAATTTTACACGTTAAACTTCGACAGGGTCGTTAACAGTCATTCATTTACGAAGACTTTATTACACCTTTTGACCTCCAAAAGCTAAAAATCTATTAACAGCTTTTTTTTTTTTTTTTCTTTTTTCTTTTTCACTTGCTCAGTCTTTAGAAGTAAAAGAGGAAACCCAGTCATATATCCAGAGCACCTAGCACTTAAATGGATCTATATATATGTATATATGGGGGTGGGCAGGTCTCACAAGATCAAGCAGTCAAAAAAGACTCAAGTTATTGATACTAAAATGGATCCGAAGTAGAAGACAAACATATTTTGGTGCAAACAATTTCATTGTTGACTTCTGTAATCAGCACAAACCGGTATAAAGCACAACAATATTCTTTATATACACATCATATAAACTGTGGCTCGTTAATAGAAAAAGACCTACTGCTACTGATACATTTTCCCATCAATGGTGTCTCACCATGTAAACAATCAATCATCCTTGGATTCTTTAGCAGGCCGCGCTTCGAACCCTCCACCTGCTCTTTTCTCAAGTGAATAAGGCATATAAGTTCCGAAAATTCTATCCCACATGACAAAGAATGGTTGCGAGAAGTTATATTTGCTGCCATACAATTGGTGGTGGACATCATGATATGCAGTATTATTACCAAATATCACATGGAAGACGTTTCCCGGGAGCCAGAGCCCACAGTGGTCATCTACTGTTTTGATAGTGGCGAATGTGAAGAATAAGATTGAAGTCCGGGGAGTCATCCCAGAAAAGAGAAAAGATAAAGCTCCACCAATTGTGTCAAGGATAAGACCTTCCAATGGGTGATTGTATAGAGCTCCAAATGCATACGGGACAACAAGTCGATGATGTTGAGAATGGATGTGTTTATACAGGAACTTGTTATGGTGCATGTATCGATGCATAAAATATTGCCATGTATCTAAAACCAACATTCCCACAAGAAACTGCCTGGCTAGGACAAGTAAGGAAGGGACATGCGCCGTAGCAGCCCCAGAATCATCTCCTGTTATCTGCAAACCAAAAGAGAAAAGAAAATCAAAATTCCATAACTAGACGTAATCATTTCCTCACGCACTAACATATTTGAAAAAAATAATAATGGATGCATCATAGAAGCCAGTAAATTCCTCAACCTGTTTTCCCAGCTAATATAGACATGTAAGAAAACTAATAGCACAGAAGTAAATACTATAAGAAACCAAAGTATGAGTTCAGCTATGAAGAGAACAGAAACTGCAGGTTATACCAACAACTCCGAAAGAAAAGTTAGCCAAGAATTGGGTTTTCAACAGCAGCAACCCTATTTTTCCATAAAGAGACAGAGAAAGCCTCTCGTAGATGATTATGAAATCATAAAAACTAAAAGAAAGTTCAGTGTGTTAATTCAATGACTTAGATTGTAGTCCAGTAAAACATATTTCTTCAAGAACAAGGTCATACACAGCAAAGAAAGAGTCCACACAATTCTTTGCCCATTTTTGGCACGAGTAACATACAGCATCTTCAAGTTCCGTGAATGTCACCCACATCAAACATTGTGCTCAAGAAAATCAGAGTGAGCATTCCACAATTATGAAATACAGCAGGTTGAAACTAATAAGAAGTGGATGAATATGGTGTGAATCACTACAAATTTCACATTCAACCCCATCATCTTAACTCACTCACCAATCTTATTGACTAAATGCAACAACCAACACCTGGGACATAACTGGTCATAGGCCCCAATTACTTCACACAATATCTCAATAGCTAGAAAACTCGAAGAGTGCTATATTTGCATTTATTCAAATAGTGAGCTACCAACAACCCATATATCTAAACCCCTGCGGCTAGAAGGTACCAAATTTAATGTGATCTCTTGCTTTCCAAACCTGAACTTATACAAGAGCCTTGCAACAAGAACGCTTGACCGAATTTATTGTGATCTCTCGGTGGCCAACCCTGACAACCGGACCACAAAATCTACCATTCAATTCCCTTACCTCAACAAAACATAAAAATACTGGTTTCTCTAGAATTTAAATAAATGCTTCAATAAAAGTGCCTTAAGCTAGACTTAACACGGATCCATATTGAACAGGAAAACCTAAATTTTAGTTTAGAAAGAAACCCCCTTTCCTTTCAAACACATCTCCTAATTTATCAAGGCAACCATGAAAGTAAATTTTAAAAAAAAAAAATTAAAGCAGAGAGTTAACTGCATAGAAACAAAAAAGCATCAGAAAATATCTTAATAAATTCTAGTGTTGTATCTCATCAGTCATCAAATTACTATAATTAAATTGCTTAATCAGAGAGCCATGATTACCATAAAATAAACATGAGCTAAACTCACATCTAACTCAAAAATACCAATGAAGTTAAGGAAAAACCAAATATATTATAATTAGAATATAGAATCGAAAGAAAAATCAAACAACAAAAAGAAACAGGAGGGAAAAACCATTACCGTAAACAAAACCATAGCAACAATCGCCTGAACGGTTTGCTGAAGAAGAACGCCTTTGACGACATTTGCTTTCGACACCAAATTCTTCTCATCTTCATCTTTCTTCGAATGCAATCTGTACTTCTCGAGCGAACCCAAAGCAACATAAATCCCTGAATACACCCAATAAACCACTATCGGCACGAAAGTGCCCAACAACTCATCTGATATCGCAAAACTCATCTTCTAAAAACTCCCGACACCTAAATCAAACACATAAACTAGGTCGTAACTGGTGCTTAACACTTCATTTATAACGCAAAGGAAATATAATAAGAGCTTGCGAAGAAGACAGGGAGAAGGAAGCAGGTATTTATCAACGAATACTGCCACTGATCACAATTACATTAGGGTTTGAATTTGGAAAGGGAAATCGGAAATTCCCTTAAAAATCAAAGAAACACTCTAGAGATTTTATATTCCATTTAAACAAAAAAAGATTACATGAAAAAAAAGAAGAAAGAATCAAAGTGTAATTTTGGTGAAAATCCTGAGCAGATTTTCTCAATTAATAAAGAATCCGAAGAAATTTATTAAAAAGTAAAATAAAATCTGGAGGGGGAATCATAAGGTGTAAGGCATGTAGATCGAACGTGGCAATTTGGAGACGGCAGAATGTGGGCCCCACCGGTGGTCAAAACGGGGGCAGAGGCCTGACGTGGTGAAATAAAACCAAGCTTAACAACTGGATTAAGAACTAAACCGTTAATTAAATGATCTGGAACATGTTTACGTGTTTATTTATGGCTTTACAGTTCATTTTATTCTTTCTTTCTTTTTTTTTTCTATTTTATTTTTATACGTATTTAATTATTTATTTAAATTCAGAAATTGACAAAAATTGGAAAATTTAACGGTTTATTATTTAGTATATATAAATTAAATTATTATTTTCAAAAATAAATATTAATTTAATCTATATTTTTATGGACGTAACAATTATTAAAATAAAATATATTATTTATAAATTAATCTCTCAATTAACTAATTAAAGTCAAATAATTTAAATTAAAGTATTTGTTGACCAATGCGTTACCAGCTCATAGCCTCAATGATTAGCAAGTGGACACGTTAAATTTATTAGCAAAATTGTTTTTTTCAAATTATTATTTTTTTTAAATCTTTATTTTGTTATTACAAATATATATAATTTTATTAAAAAGTATATACTTCGGATTATATATAACTCTTATGATAAAATTGAGAATTTTAAGTAAAAATCTCAGTACTCATCCTTTGTAAATATATCTACGTATATATAATTTTGGACAAACATTTAATATTGAGGTAATAAAATATTATACTTAGCCTAAAAGATAATGTCTACATGAGGAACTTAAAAATAATTAGAAGATTAGCATGTAATCCACTTTTGATTATGTATATGAAAAGATTGGATTACTTACTAATTTTAATATACACATGTAATTTAAAAAATATTTAAAATATCTAGTTAAGATAATATAATACTCTTACTATAAAATTAATAATCTAAATTAAATCATTGTAATCCATTTCTCACAAAATATATATATATATAATTGTAGAAACGAATTTATACTTTATCTTAAAATTATGATGGAGTCTTAAAAAAGAAATATATATAACAGCTTTTATTACAAAAGGTCAGAGATTTTTATTGCAAGAGATTGATAAAATTTAATAATTAGATATATCTAAATTATTATATTATTCCATTAAATTTAATGGAAAGACAATGAAGTTGTATTAATATTTTTAAAATATTAAATAAATAATATACTTGGACAATAATATATTTACTTATTTTTCACATTTTCTATTCATTTGTTGTTAATAATATATTGAAAATAACTTTTTTACTATTTAAAAAAAATAAAAAAGTAAATAAAAAATAAAAAAAAAACTATAGTTAATGATTTGTGATGATAACAATTTTAAGTAAAAAAGGAAAGCGAAGCTGCTGATAATTACATGTTTCTTATTTTTTGTTATGATTCTTCTTAATAATATTATTAAAATTAAATTTCTCGCTGTTAAAAAACTTGATTTGGAAAAGTATGAATAATACTTTTGATAAAAGATGCTTTTCAAAATTTTTATTTTTATGATTCAAAGAACAAATAAAATATATAAATAAATTAAAATTAATTTATAATCGTGTTATAGGGGGTTGATAATGATTTCACATAAAAATGGAGTTGAATTTTTTGGTGGGCTCGTATTCTTTAAAAGCATTTTTATAGGAAATAGAGAATTTGAAGTCTTTGTTTACTTCATCTTATGGTCTTTTTCTTCTTCTTTGAATATAATATAATAATAAAATTAGATTGGGATGAGACAACCTGCAAACATCCAAAAATAAGAAAAATTCGCCCAAAGTGCTTTGTCAACAAGAATTTTTTTCAGTCGCCTAGGCTGAATTGAGCAAGTTAGGAAGCTGTCATGGTACAAGGAAAGGCACTGACTAACTATTGTATTCATCCTTAATATTCTGGAAAAAATAAGAAGCAGACCACCGTCTGACTATTTCAATATTCTTCTCGCTGAAATAAAAGGTCCAACTTGGAAAATCAAATTTAGATTTGTAGACTACTTGGCAGAGGTTGTTTGGAAGTTTTAACTCATAAATTTTCAAATGAAATTCATTTTTCTTTTATGTTGCTATCGATGCATACAACCTAAACTCGTACGTCTAATGAATTAGTTAGCAGTAAACTATTAGCTACGCAGGGCATGTCATTAGTGGTAAGAGGACCAATCAAAGACAACAAATTCTTATATGTGAATTTCCAGCAAAGCTTCAGGGACTATAATATGAAATATCAACAGAGAGAATCTATCCTAGTTTCCTTTGTTTTTCCATGTAGACTTTCATTAAATTAAATCTAACCAGGAGAAAAAAAAGCCATGTACATTGCTTCCAAAACTTTCCAATCTAGCTAGGGCAAGAAAGCCATGTGCTTTTCTTACGAGGCCTCCAATTTTTGGGTCTCGGGAACTTTCTTCAGAAAATTGAGGCTGGTTTGGGTGGTTCGCTTGCAGGCTGCTGGGGAAAAAAAAAAAAGAAAGAGGCAGAAATTAATGAATTAGTTGAATTGCTTCCTTTGAAATGTAATGAAAGACAAATTAACAAAATATATCATTTACTTTTTGCCATGTTTTCCTTATTAGAAGAAATGACTGATGATTTCCAATCCTCATAAGCAGCTTTCTCCATTTTTTTTTGCCGCTTGTAACTTGAGAGCTGCAGAAGTTCAAAAATGCTTAGTAGTTTATTTGAGGTTCAAATTTGTTAAAGATACAGTTTATACTTGATCAATGCAGCTTTCAACAAGAGGAGAAGCTACTAGGCTGACAATTCAGTTATTGGAACAACTATCAAATCATGCTACTTTAAGGAGGCAAAGGAACTCTAGAGTTCCATTACAATTATTACATAGTACCATTTTGCTTCATCTCAAATTGCCTGCAACTATATGCCCTACCTGATACAAGTATAGATTCTCTTTGAGCATTTGTCTTTTCTGATGATGAGGCAATACCTCATAACAAACGGAAGCTAGCAAGTTATCTAAGCAGGGACTAACAAGGATATCAGTAGTTAAAATGTCTAGCAATTAGAAATTTCACTGTCTTAAGCTGGTGTAAAGAGCAGCACTATCAAAATTTTTAAGGTGTCTCAAGGAATATTGTAAATTAGGGTCCTCGGAATCTGAATCCAGGGCAGCATTCCAATGATGGAAAAAGTGATAAAGAACAATATGCACTTTAGCAGTCTCTTCATATGCATATATTTAGATCTTACATTACTTATAGTTGATCTTTACTTTATTCTCATTTAATTTCTAAACTTTAATTATTAAATATAAGAGAACCATAATTTACATATTTCATATATAATTAAATCAACATCTACATTTATATTTTCAATTCTACAAATATTGGTAGTTGTTTTGTTAAAAAAAGCTACCAATTTTTTAAAAAAAAATAAAAGAAAAGCTACCATAATATTAGCAAATTACTATAACTTTACAACCAAAAAACGAAAGGTAACAAGTGTTTTGAGATCAGAGAAACTGCAATACCTCCTTTCCATCATCAGATATATAACCACCATCCTCAAGTCTCCTTTTTCCAGGAAACACATCAAGCAACTCTGGTTACCAATGGAGTCAATTTAAGAAATACCCAATATCAGTACAAATGTTTAATGATCTAAAGAATTTATAATATCCCAGCAGCTACAATAGCAGCAACGAAATCAAAATGTTTACTACATGCAAAATGGACAATTGAAAGAGCATGGCAAACTTAGTTGTAAATGAAAATCAGGTCCTACCTCGATTCCCTTTCACTTCTCTGGGATCCTTCTTTTCCTTTTCAGTCCCAAAAACATCATGACACAGGTCCTTCATGGAGGTAGAAACCTATATACACATAGCACCTAAATTAGCACAAAGAAACCACAAGTTTCCATTTTAAAAACCAATCATACCGGGAAAAAGACATCACATACACAGGAAAATTCAGATTCAGCTGTCCCGCAAACCTCAATCAACTTAAGCTTGTCTACTTTAAGCTGCCAAGCAATAAATTTTATCCCCAAAAGTTAAAAGCAAAGAAAATGTTTAACAAAACCAGCTATCTTATTACACAAATCACTCCTAGGTTACCTTGTGCTTTTTTGCACACAAGTAGAATGCAACTGCAGTAAATAATGGGCGAGTGAAGTCGGCACTTGCCCTCCTTGATGCCGGCAGTGATGCAACAAACCGTTTTTTGTATCTAGCAATAGAACATTCCATTAATGCACATAACCAAATAATTCATCAAAAGTAATTGCATCAACAAAAAGTTTATAGATACACAATAAGCTTTATGCAGCAGAGGACAGATTATCTAACAGTGTTAGATAGGAAACTTATGTAAATGATTTCTCCTTTGTGGCATTTTTCCAAACATGTATTGAGCAGAAATTTACAGCTCATAACTGAGCATACACTTCGTCTATAACCTATAATATATACAAGATAAAGAATCTTACAGTGACAACCCCTTCTTCACAAAAGGAATGATTCTAACGCAACCGAATTGGATCGCCAATTCTCTTATATCCAGCGTTGTCCTACGAAAATATATTTTGTCAGTTAAATCCAAATCCCATAAACATAATGCGAAATAAAAAAAAAAGACATATATCGGAAGGAAAACGTAAGGAACTCACTTGACACCAATGCCGTTTTGCAAAAAATTGAAGGATCTATTGTAGGCCTTCTCTGACATACCACTCAACCTAATTGCAGTTTGCCTATCAAATATTATCTGCAACCTACAATTACATAAAATCCGCCGATTATAGCACTTAAAATATGTATTAATGAAGAAAAAACGCAGATCAGTGGAGCATTGAAATGGTTACCTTGTGGCGGCGATTTCCAAGCATATTATAGATTTACAAATCTCACCCTGCAAAAGCAAGTCAGGCTGCATTAGATAAAAAATTTACAGAGATTGTTGCTTAGATCAATGATATTTACTGATTAAGACGCTTACGACTCCAATGATGGATGAATCAAACTGGACGTCACAGAGGCGGCGGAGCTCGGCGGCTTTTCGGATCAGGTACTTGGACTCTGAGAGACCGAGCTTCTTTGCGATGTCGGAGAGATTCATTTCTGCTGGGGGTTTAGAAACGGAGCATCAGATTCCTTCTTGTGTTTGGAGAGAAAAATGGAGAAATGATCTAGGTTTTGGATTCTTTGAAGATGAAGGAAGAATAATCGGAGGGAAATAAACTGGTTTAGTTGGCGGGAACATGGAAGTGTTTTCGAAAATGTTGAGCGCGATATGTTTAAAAGACGACGCAGGACTTCCCCAGTATTTCCATGGGCGCCAAGGTAAGAATAAATAATTTAAATAGTTAAGTTTTTATTATTTATTTATTTTATTTATAAATAAATTAAGTAAAAACCTTTTTACAATAAATTTAATGTTTAAAATACACTATATGAATTATAATATTTTAGAAAATTACGAAAATTATACCAATCTAATTTCGATTTTTTTAAAAAAAAAATTATTTTAAAATTGATATAATGAAATTTAAAGTATTCATTTCAAAATAAGAATAATATGAAATGAAAAGCTAAATTACAAATAAATTTTATATTTTTATATAATTTATTTGTGTCATACGGAATATTAAAAAAAATTAATAATTAAAATTTACATATTTTAATTTTATTTATTTGATGCATCATTTTAATAAAATATTAATCTTCTTACAACAAAAGTACAAGAATGTGTTTAGTTCAATTATTTTCCAATTATAATTCCTATTCTTATATTAGTTTTAAAATACATAATTATAACATAATATATCATGTTTAGGTTTATTATCATGTCACTTTCCTTAATGGTAAAAATTAAAATTTGACCATAAAAAAATTCAAATTGAATGTATGAAATTTCATTTCAAATTTTATATATACTTACTTGTTTGTCATCTTAATCCAATTTACCCATTTTTTGTGTGTGTGTGTGAATATTTAACCTAACTTTTATTCAAATCAAAATATAATTCTCAAATGAATTCTTCATTGTTTCTTAAGTTGTTGTGTATAACCTTTCTTTTAGCCGCCGTAAGTTAAAACAAAATAATCGATGAAATTAACCACAACGGATTATAAATTTAAACTACTTCTTTCTCGTCGAGAGAAAGTCGAGGAACGGAACATCACAACTTTCTCTCTTGCTCTATAAATTGAGTGAACGACAGAAAAAATTATAAATCTCATACAGGAACTAACAAGAGTTTGAAATTAAACAGTGAAATTTCCGCCACATAAAGAATTCTTCTTCGTCTTCTCTCTTTTTGATAGCAAACCTGTCTAAACTTCAGATGACCCTTATAATCCGATCAATGCATTATCCTGGTTGATATAAAGAAGAATGAAATACACTGCTACTTTGAGATTTAATTGGATTACTCTTCTGTGCCGCTGACGTTAACCAGCTGGAAAACAACAGAATACAATCAATATATATGTATGTATATAACTTTTTTACGAACAGTTAACGAACTAAAAGAATGATACTATGGGAGTGATTAAACCTACCAATGAACCAATTTGCTCGTATGCTTCCATTACTTTTGGATCTTCCTCATCTTCATATCCTATTTGTAGGATTCTTGGTCCATTCACAGACCAAAATGCTCTTCTACCTGCCTCCTGGAAGGAGAAGAGATTACAATGTCATTCTTCTCGTGAAAAAGCATTACCTTCCTTCGAGAGGATCAACACGCAGGAAGGCCGAACAACAGACTAATTTCCTCCTTGCAAACACATTCATGTATTTGCACATTTTTTGATAGAAATATATAAACATTCCATATATGTAGAATAATTAAAGCAGAAGCAAAATAATCTTTTTGATAAGACTAAAAAACAATATTTTAAATTTTCTAATTCTATCATTATTTTTCATGTTCTTTTATTGTTGATTAATTAGTATTTTTGTGATTGAAATATATAAAAATTTGGAAGACGAAAACTTTGGAATGAAAATCTGTATTACTATACCTGTAATGTTATCAGATATATAGCCTCCAATGCTTGAACACGAATCTCTGGATCATTAACTGGTTCTCGCTCAATCGATAGTGCACTTGCAAGCTCCAATGGCATTTTTGAGGTGTCCTGCTCACTGTATATCTGATACGAGTCTCAAAGTCAATCAATAACAATTCAATCCACAAAGTTTTGTTAAGTATTGAAATAGACCATCTTAAGGTTCTACAACTTGCAACTTAAAGGTTTGAAAACAACAAAATTATTGTTGTTAAAAAATGAAATAATGCAAGGAACAGAGCTATCTGTTACATTCCATAAACAAAACTATCGAATAAATATAAAAAATGGAACTACCTTTTTTAGATCATATGAGCAAAGAATTTTAGTTATTTGAGAAGTGATAAGGCACAGCAACGTGCCAAGCCACACACCCAAAAAGACAAAGGCACAATAGAGTTCAAGAACTTTTCGGCTTTTTCTCTTCGTATAGTTACCTTGCTGCCAGCAACAGGTAGAAGTAGAGCTGGCCAAAGAAACTCAGATATCAAAAGTAGATTCTGTAGTTGATTCTCAGCTTCGAAACAGCAGTTACGAACAGTTCCAGAAACCTGTAACCCACATTATGTTAGATGAGATGGCAGGATTTTAATCAATCGATGTAGAAATAATAAAAAGCTTAAGATTCCATTTGGTATATAAAAAATATTATTGAATTCTAATTTCTTAACACATTTATCTGTATATAAACAAGTCATTCCAAAGAAAATATTTCATGGAAAGCACTGCCAAGAGCATTTGAAAAAGGTAAGCAATGAAAAAGAAACAACATTGCATAGGACGTGTCTATCATTTGAGACGCGACTTTATCAATTAAACTGGTAGGTGGAAGAAACACAATTCAAGCATGACCAACATGTTAATTTATAGTCGACTGTAAGAAACTTTGAATGTGGAGTAGTCTTTCAAATTACCCCTTTCTTCCGCAATTGACTGGTTGAATCAAACTGTCTAATAATCTGCTTCAGCAACCCTCTCCTAGGGTCCAGCAACATTTTCCTTCCTTCTTCTTTCTTTGATATGTTTACAAGTATTGAACCAACATGCTCAAATGGGTCATCTGGTAGATGCACAAAGAAAACATACTTGAATTGTCAAATAGACATACTAACGTACATGCATTGAAACTGACAAATGCAATATTATACTGCATAAAAAGTAAATAAGAGACAGGAAAGTCAAGGAAAAGACCAAGGTTTTTGGGATTTTAGTTGCAATATTAGGAAAGTCACAGCTGAGCAGGCATGAGATCGAATCCATAAAATTTTATCCTTTCAAGATCTTCTGAACATTACAAAAAACTGATTGGTTAAGATTTCCAAAGGATGCAGAACTAAGAAATTTGAATTTTCCCATAGAACAAATTAAAAATAAACACGTAAGGTTTAATGAGTAAAAAGCTCACATAAAATGCATATAAGAGCAACCTCAAACAGAAAAGAAGCAAAACTCACCACTAGTTTCACTACCGGATCGGCAGAATGACCTAACAAGCTTCATGACATAGAGTCCTTGCATTTTCTCATCACCACTCTAAAAAAAGAAAAGACAAAACAAATTCCATCACTAATGTCCGCTCCTAAGTTTAAAAATCTCATTAATTAAGCCATTCTTTCATAATATATGTTATAATATGCTGATGTGTTCACTAGAAATATCTAAATTAAATCATTTATCTCAATATTTGAATTACTGAATGAAAATGAAACATCTAAGCCCAGAAGTAAAAAGGTATCCTCTTCTTTCCATTTTTATAGGTATGTAGGCAATTAGTGACAGCTGTGCACAATGAGACAAGAGAAGGCCGGGAACCTGAAGCAAGGAAGAAATGCCATCATCCAACTGTGTGAGATTGACTAGAAGCATAACCAGCAACCTAGAAATGCTAGAATCAGGCTTGTACAACAAGTCCATGGCAATTTTAATCATTCCCATTTCAACCATCTTCGCAGCTAGTTCCGAATTCTGGGAGAGATTTACAAGAGCTTCTGCAGCTGGTTCTGCAACCTCCTGAAATGTCATATCGATTTGATTAAACAAAAAATGAAACCATGGAAGCAGCACAATGAAACACATTGCTTGAAGAGGCAAAAAAAGTGTATGGTTTTGGCCAGATTAGTATAGGCCATCAAGCTGAAGGCACTATTAAATCTGACATCTCCCAATCTGATAAATGCACCAAGATCACTAAACATCAATGGCATCAATAAGGTGGGTTGGTCGGAGGTTTAGTTGTTCAATTTGACAAATGTGATCGGGAATAATTATCCACCTACAAGATCAGTTACATATTCAGATATTATCTCAATGGCTTATCTACTTTCAGAACATCAATCATTTAAGAAAATTAAACAAAATAACAATTTTGCACCAAAGGAGTACCTTATTTTCACTTAGAAGTCGAGACAGTGATGAAAGCAGAACTTTTGCATGCTTGGAAAGGGACTGCAAACCATCCTCAGACCCAGTTAATCCACGAACAATATCAACAGCTGCCTTTTTCACCTATATGTTTAAATCCATAGAGATCATACGTTGAAAATGTATACAGTCGAAGTTTTAAAAATGAAGAATTAGAAAGCATTAAGCAATATAATCACATGAAACCAATGAAGCAGACAAACTTTAATTCATTTCTGAAGAAAATTATCTGATATGTTAGCTTTTTGCGTTCAGTTAACAATCAAGCACCTATAAGATAGATGAGACCAGTTTCAACTCCAAAAAATAAATAGTTAAAGAACATTTTTCTTGTTGAAACAACTGGCAGTGGTAGTTCACATTAAAAATAAACACCTCGAAATGCTCATTTTAAACCTTTAATGTACAACAAGGACAAGAATTCTGTAGACTAAAAGAACGATAAATGACACTTTAATCGAAGACTTGAACAAACTTCTTTAAATACTGAATTCAATTGTTAGCCAAAATAGCAAAAAGAACAACAACAGCAAATCTTTTAAGGTAGAGTTTGATTGATTATCAATTTAAATTTTCATAATTCTACTTTTTGAGGTTCGCTTAGCAACAGTAGTAGGGAAATTGAAGAAAAACTCGGACATCTAGTAACCGTGAGTTTAAACTCTGATTCGTAATTATTTTGGGGATTTTTAATCTTCGTCCTCCAACTTCATGAGACTCTAACGTAGTGTTTAAGTAGAAAAACTTACAGAGGGAGATGGAGAAGATAGGAAGTCTAGTAGTTCTTCCAGTTCAGTCGCCATTGTTGTCCGTTGAGGCTGCTCACAGGTCTTCTCTTCGGTATCGTAACTAGGATTATGAACATAAGCCCTTGAACGGCGTCGTATTGACTTTTTAACTCCATCCAAGTCCAACCACCTATCACATGGATAAACGCACCGTTTCACTGCAAGTTGAATATGATACTAAATATTTTAATTTAGCATTACTTTTATCAGAAAAAAAAAACCAAATATTTACCGCGAGTAATTAGTAAAAAACAAACTGAGGCTAACCCATCTATACGGTCACGGTTCTCAAGCTCCACTCGCTTTTTGGGGAGTGAGATTTTGATGATGTAATCCATCGATTCGATTTTGATTCTCATGTTTTCTTTTCGAAAATTCATATGTTTTTCTTTTAAGATCAGTGCCATAATAATTCTGAGCTAAAATAGACGAATCTCTTTAGGGTTAAACCATCGAATCTGAATTCTGTAACAGAAATGATTCGTACTGTCTGATTTGAGTTATCCTTGTTTGGTTAAAATTATTTTGCAGTGAACTGGTTTAAGGTCTCGAATTATGTCAAAATGGCGCTGTATAAATACAATAGTGATTTGTTACCAGAACAAAGAAGCATCATCGGGTCTGTTCTAAGTTCTCTTGGTCAAACTAGGCATGGCATCCGGATAGTTCGTCGAGGAAGGAGGATTGATCGGATTGCTAAACCAAAATTTTCGCATTGTCTTATTTTGCTGGCGGGAATCTCTTTAATATCTTTTACAGTCTTCGGCCTTAAAATGGTTTCTCATGGTGAGATATGATTGCTTATTTTTCTTCAATCTTCATTTGCATTTGAAACAACTGCACATGTGCGGATTTACATCGAATTTCCAATAATTGCTCTTGACATTTCTTCAGGATTGTTTATTGTTTAGTATATCATGTGAATTTACACGTTCTTTTAATTAGAAACCCCAATGAACCTCTCTTTAGGTGTCTCTTTTTGTTAGAAGAATTAAGATCAAATTCTAGAATAGTATCATAGAACACCATTGCATTTTCGTGTTCACATTAAATTACTCCATGAAACTTTTAATGATATTAATGTGAACCTTAAGACTGTTCACATTAGGCCATTGCAACGTTTTAACAATTTCTATTAGTTTTAACATCAGTGCTATTTATTTTTTTCTCTTTATTTTTTCTTATTTTTCTTTCTCTCTCCTGCTCATTCTGTCTCTATGCCTCCACCTCATTGCTCCCTCTCACTTTGGATTAACCTGTAAATAATATGACTATTGTTTTGGTTATGATAAATATTTGGGAGAGACATAGATGGACTTTTTTATTTGGGTATTGTATAAAGAGAAGTTTCAGTCTTTAATGATTTTTAATGAAGAGGAATGTGATCTAGTCACATTAGGTTGTTGGAATACAAGGACAATGATATTGAATATAGATTTTTTTCCATCCTTTTGATGAGAATAACCAAGGAAAACCATTTTTGGGAGATGCATCTGCTGCTGTGAAAAAGACTGAAGGCTATTTGCCAGCCTTCTTCTTACTTTCTCATCATCCAAACACCAGGAAATCACACAAAAAACAGAGGTGTAATTTTTCTTCAAGAGGACTTCTTAATTCTGTTGGAACTCTTTTTGATTGTATACTGTGTGGAAATGTTAAATCAAATCCCATATAGTTATATTTCTTATCTCCATTTCCTATTCCAAACATTTTCTTACCCAAAGTTGAAGAAGAAACAAAAAAGAAGAAAAGAGAACTAGTTATGTGAAATACCCGTGCAACACACATGGATTGAAGTAAAATCATAAAGAAAGGAAAAATACAAAGAATTTTAACATTGTTCGGCAATGTGCCTACTCTGCGGAACGTCCTGCAAGAATTTTTATTAAAAACCTGCCTCTTGCAACTAGGTCTTTTCCTATATAGTGGAAGACTGAAACCTAATTTTACAAACTGCCATATAATAAAAACTACCCTAGGCTCAAAAATCTTATGTCCCACACCGTCTGCCCCTTCCCCCTAGTGAATCCATAATTGACTGCGCTGGGACAAAATAATAATTCACATTTTTTGGCAGGCTTCTTGGAAACTCCCACCCATTTAGCAGGACCTAACTGTGAACAGAAAATTCGCTGAATATAAGTCACAACTCAAAAGTAGAAACTAGAAATCCAAACGGCAGCTAGAGATATTAAGAATCCCTATCTAGGACCAAAAGCTGGAGAAACCTGGCCAGTTAAAATCTGTTACCAATTGCTTGAAATATTTTCTACCAACAAAAGAGAAAGCGAGAAAGGGAGACAGAGGAAGGATGAAAAAGAAAATAGAATGAAAAGAACAAAAAGGAATTTTCTTCTTTCCATTGTGGTATTGCTAAAAGTTAACAGAAATTCTTAACAAAAGTATGTTCTGGACCAACAATCAACAGTTTCAGGTTTGTTAACCAGAATGGTACCATTCACTGACGAAGTTCTTGACTCATGGAAAGAAGAAGAATTAATAATTTAGTATTTGCTCCAGGTTTCTGTGTGTTTTAACTTTATGCAGGTTGCTCTGTTTATTTTTTGTCGTTGTTATTTAAGATAGTTATGTGGTCTAAGCAGACAAAACATTTATGTAAGAAGTTGAGTGTTTGAATTTTTTTCATTCAAACAATTGCTCTTATCCAGGAAAACATTTATGCTGGAGTAACAGTTCTACTGTTCTCTTGGATAAACTATGATGTATTTTCAGGTTAAGTTTGAGTACTTTCTTATTCAAGAGATTATTAGGTCCTCTCTCCATGAGCCTAAATTGTTCTTAGCCAAAATACATCATAGAAAAAGGAAATCGCAGAGGACTCCTGCAATCCTTCTAATATTTCGTAACTGGGCCTATAACCAGATCTTGGTCAAAAGTGCGATTTGGTCCATCACAATACTTATTGTTCATTTGATATTATAGAAGTAGCAATTTGATATTGACAACACTGAATTTGTTTTTTTTTTCTAATATTATTGCTAAAATTTGAATGAAACTCAAACAAATCTGGAAAAGAAAATCTGGAGAGTTCAATTTTACCTAACTATGATAAATGATACAGAAAATTTCATGGTCAATGTTCTTTATGGATTCCATGGTTCTGTGACACATGTTCATCACTGTTGTATTTCAACCTGAGAAAGCTGACCACTTTCTGTGTAAAAGGATTTTTTGAATGAATGTTGAAATATGACGATAATTAGAGGCAACGGAGAATTATAACACTTCTATATATCTGCTACATTATGTCAATTTTTAGTTATGGGGTTGAAGATGAACTCGAGTACCTTCAAGTTTGCAGCATGTAGTTATCATCCTGTCCTGGAGATAAAGATTTGACAATGTATATTCAACCAGTGCTTTGCTGATTCAGTTTCTAGAAACTTCAGTTTGGCAGTCACAGCTATTCAATTCCATTAAGATGTAACATAATTGTGTAGGAAGCAATAAGGTTATGTTAGAAGATCATATCTGCCAGTTGGCTGAAGCATTTTTGTGTGCATGATCTGGCTGTAACTATGCATTTCCAAAACCAGCCAAAATTAGGTCATAATGGATAAGAAAGTAGATCAAGATAGGAAAACAAATACAATATCATGTGCAAAGTTCTAACTACCATACCTCGTGATTGTCGTGATTGCATTTCAATATACTGCTTGCATTCATCTTTATACTTATGCTCACTTGGTTTTCTTTCAATTATTGTTCTTCTCTAGATCACTAATGTTATAAGATTTAAAATTATTATTATTTTAGTTTTTAAACCACTGCATTTGATGACATTTATGTACATTTTGTTAATCATTTTTTGATCTTTCAGATTTTCCATGTGAAGTTGGGCTTGCAAAATCAGTTGATTACATGGTTGAGCCCAAGGATTATATGAACTTCACCCAATTTTTGCTAGACTATGTTGATAAAGAGGAGAATAAACCACTTAGTAGCATTCAACCTAGATTTGGAGGACATCAGACCCTAGAGGAAAGAGAGAAATCCTTCTATGCCCAAAATCAGACAATTCACTGCGGTTTTGTCAAAGAACCCCCTGGATTTTCAAACACTAGATTCAAATTGAATGAAATGGACAAGAGATATATGAAAAGTTGTGCAGTTGTGGTCTCTTCTTGCATTTTTGGGAGCTCTGACTTTCTTAGGAGGCCTACAAGCAAAGTGGTATATGATCCATGCCTCATCAAATATCTTTGCATGGCATGTCTTAGAAACTGAGGTGTTGAAACAATCATCATTCTATGTGTTGAAACAATCATCATTCTATGTTGTAGTAACTGAATGTTGCTTTTTACAGTTTCATTTCGTGCAGCCTTGCTCCCTCATTTTCTACTTCTTATATCTGCTCTAGTTGGATATGGGTAGTTGGATATAGAATATGAGATAATAAACCAGCCCTAAGAGTTTGTTCAGAAAATGGTTCTAGTTGTATCAGATTGCATTTTACGAAGAAATAAAAGAAATACAGTAGGGGAATTCGTGTGAAGTATAGAAAGGGTAATCATTATCATTGAGGAACTTGTCTGTGTGTGAAATTTGTTTGAATAATATTCTGGTATGCAGTATGATGTATAGTTAATTCTCTAGATAAAGAAAACTTTGTTCTTGAATAAGATACCATCCATGAATAATTTGAATTCTAGTCAACTATGTTGATATTATCAAATTCATTCTTAGAGCTTTTCTGTTTTGTACTGAGGATTACACCCCTGAGATTGCACCATATCTCTGGCTGATATTGCATCTGTTTAGTAACTTCTTTAATTAGCTTCTTGTTATTTAAATGAATGTTTGGTTCTATTGAACTTTGAACTAAATTTGCTTCTTTTTTCCTTTGTCTTTTCACTTTTTTGGAAGAGATATTGGCAGTGTCTCTTTATTTGGTTGTCCTTCAATGCAAAGTTGATTTAGCAGTGCTGAATGCAAAAATATCAATTGTTTGATGGTGCCTACTCTAGTTTTAGGATATTGTGATAGTGTTCTATCCTGTCATTGATTTTGTATATTTCAATTCTTTTTCAGATTAGTGATTTTTCCAAGAAAAACGTTTGTTTTGTTATGTTTGTGGATGAGCAAACACTATCAAATCTGTCTTTAGAAGGACATGTTCCTGATGACAGAGGATATGTTGGTTTGTGGAAAATTGTCATTGTGAAGGACTTGCCATATGCAGACATGCGAAAAACTGGCAAGGTGCCAAAGTTTCTATCACACCGTCTCTTCCCTTCTTCTAGGTAAGGTTAGTTGTCTTGTTTCTTTAGCCTCGTATTTATCTCTGTTATTCTCATGTGGTTTTTATATCAATTGCTTCTTTTGCCTGATATTTGCAGGTATTCAATTTGGATTGATAGTAAGATGCGACTTAATACCGACCCAATGCAGATAATCGAGTACTTTCTATGGCGAACAAGGTCAGAGTATGCCATTTCAAACCATTATGATCGCCACTGTGTTTGGGATGAGGTACAACAGAATAAGCGTCTGAATAAGTATGACCATACGGCTATTGATAAGCAGTTTATCTTTTACCAGTCTGATGGCCTTAGAAAATTTGATCCTTTGGACCCAAATACTCCTCTTCCGAGCTGTGCGTATCTTGACTCTCTCCCTCGCTCTCTTGGCGAGACTTGCTTCATATTATGCTTCATGCCTGCTGATTTCTATGTGATATGTTTTGCAGATGTCCCTGAAGGTTCCTTTATTATAAGAGCACATACACCAATGTCAAATTTATTTTCTTGCCTCTGGTTTAATGAAGTTGATCTATTTACCTCGCGAGATCAACTAAGTTTTGCATACACTTACTTGAAACTGAGGAGAATGAATCCAGATAGACCATTCCACTTAAACATGTTTAAGGTGATGTCTATTATCAAAAAATCTGCCTCACCTTTTTCATGTCAGCTTACTTGTCTGTAGCTTATTCACAGTGGATACAGCTTTGCTAACTTGCCAGTTTGGGTTTATTTATCTATTTCCCTTTTGCTGAGTGAAATTGATGGTTGCATCGTCTTGATTAAGCTGCATCTGATTTCTCAGAAAAATCTTTTATCATGTTGATTATGTGATATTTTCTTGAGTCGTAGGCAAGCACTGATGCAGGAAAAGACTTATATTTGACATTTAAATTTAACTACCTTCTATTGCAGAAATTTAACATATACATGTATATGTTATGTAGTTTAAAATTGTGAATAAAACAAGTTGTATTTACCTATGTGTTTTTGTAGAGTACCAAACAAAAACATTTGTTTTCAGGTTTTCTTTGAATTTGTATTGTTTTATTTGTATGTAGCTTCAAAGAAATCCTGTTTGTTGCTTGTATTTAGCTTCAAAAGAAGAAAAAGAACAGGAGCATAAGGTTTCATATGATCTCATTTTATCTATCATTCTTAGCCATAGTTCTTAGAGTGAAAAATTAAGCAGTCTTTTATATTGTTTAGCTTCTTTCATGGTTTCTCTCCGTGACATAAATGCATGTTACGATATTTATGTATTCAAGTTGGCTTCTTGAGGAAAACCAATTTTCTATTTGGCTCAGTTTTTGGAGATATTTATATTTAGCTCATAAAAAATTGGTTTGTTACCCAGTGAAACAAAGTTTACTACATTAAAATAGTTTTTCCTTTTTCATAACAAAAATATTCATAATGTTGATCCTTTCAGGATTGCGAGCGCAGAGCACTAGGAAAGCTGTTCCGGCATCGAACTTCGCCGTCTTAGCCCTCTCCTTGATCAATTAGGTAAGACCAAGTCTTGGGTTTTTTATTGGTGTTGGTTTATGTTTCTACTTATACTTGGATTATATCCCTTGGACACTTCTCAACTCAATGTAGTTGTGACCTCACCTGCCGATCACTCAGGTTAAGTCGCCATTAAAAAGTACTATAACGTGCTACTAATTATTTAGTTCTGCATTTGCCACCACTATGAAACAACCTGAATTGTTGAGAACTTCCCACCATTGGTTGATCTGAGCTTTCACTTTGGAGCATGACTAGATCCCTAGTAGGTACTTTGATGTTGTCGGGAGAGGTTGTTCAACTGTTGTTGATGGCAGGTTCCACATAAAAAACTTAAATGCCTTATCTTGTCACTATGAAGAACTAGCTTTTCAAACCATTTGCCAGCCTGCAATAATTACCTGAGCAGATGGTGATGGTAACACTTTTTGTTGATCTGATTGAAGTTTTGTCCGAGTTTCTTTTTCTTTTTTTCTTTTATCTCATCACACCCTTTAAATAAATGCTGTGATTATCCACTTGTCCTGTATTATATTTCATAAATTCTCAACTTATTATCAATACTATATGATGCTTCTTTATCTATTAATACCTGCAAAGCATGATTCTTCTATTCCTCCAATTGAATTAACTGGATAGGTCAATTCTTTGTCTGATTAGTGCTGCTTAGGAGCCTCAAGCTTTTTCTTTTTACTTCTATTGGCAATCCAGAAAGTATATGACTGGAGACATTTCTTTGTTTAAAAGGGCTATCGTCTTACCTTGTAGAACGTATTAAGCCTTCTTGTTGATACTTGGTTAGATTGTAAATCCATTACTTTTGTCCATTGAGACTGTCCCCTTGAAAAATTAAGAACCTATGCTAGTTTCTGACAGATGTACAGTGCATGCGGGGGAAAATAATCAAAGTAAAGATCTGTTCATGCAAAAATCCAGTTCAAGAATTTTCTTTTCCGGATCTTTCAAGCTTGATTGAAACCATTCCTCGGTGCCTGAATATAGCCGCCGCTCAAAAATTGATTAAAGCTATATTATGTTGGCAGATAGAAATATTTCCTGGGATCAGATAGGACTTGAGGAGAAAATACTGTTGTGAGTTTTATGAAGAATTCTCTTAAATGCAGGTGAAGGGAAGAATGGTTTAGATTTGTTGCACAGTCAGCAAAAAATTATAGGTGGGCATTATGGTTAAACTGATTGCAAATGTAAATTATCAAATAAATGAATACACGGCTGTAAGTATGGCTGGTGTGGCAGTTCTATTGTTTTGTAACTTTGCTTTTGGTAAATTTATTTTTTTAAGCATAGGTATTATTTGTACCCTAAAGAGAGGGAGAAACTGTATACATGCGAGTTCCGCTGTATTTTCTGTCCTTTTTTTCGATCACGGTTATGCCGTCTGACTAAAAGTTAGGGATTTGATTCATTTTGCATTTTACTTATAGTTTTATTTTTATATAATTTTTAACATTTATATTTCAATTTAAACTATTTTTGTAGTTTAAATCTTTTGGGATTGAAACTAAATTTATTTCTATATTATTCTTAAACAGAATAGTCTGTGTTTTATGTAGCCTCACCTCACAACATATTAGTAGCTTAAATAGAGGGGTGCAAGTTAATACATTTTCCCTCATTTGTAACAGTTCCTGTTGGTCAATTTTGGCATATTTTACCACCAGAACAAGCAGTAGTAAGTCTACCAAACTCACTGTACTTCAATTCATATAGAAACTGTGAAATAATAAGATTCTATTTCTTTTTTAAACTCTAGTAACAAGAAAAATCATATATTATTTTCGTACGTCAATATAAATTTATAACTACGATAAAAGATTCACGCTAAAATATAATGCGAAACGAAAATGATATAATTAAAGTCGATAACTCGTTTGTGGTACCAAAGAATCGAAAATGAATACAAGTTGCTAATTGGTGAACTTTCGATAGTAGCTAGATCGATGATTATGTTTTTTTTTTTTTTTTTGTAGTTAAATATTTTTTTAATAAAAATATACATATTTTATAATTAAATAAAATATATAACATTATTTATTAATAAAGATACATTAAAATATTTGAAATGTAGGAGGTAAAAATTCACATTTTTATAATGAATTATAATTTAAATAAGGAATACATGTTTTTCTTCTTCCTTTACAAATGGTTTAAAGAAAGTCATTTGCTGATTTGTGTTCAAAGGTGGAAGAGTTTTACGGCCAGCCAGTTTATTCTCAAGTTTTCTGAGTGGATCGATGGTTCCGTATTTTCCCTGGCTGCTGGCGAAATGGAACCTTGCCTGATGAAATGCTCCCAAGGGAACTCTCTATTCAGATCCCTTCTTAACCCTCTTAATTATAAGCTCCCAAATTCCCTTCGCTGCTCGTCAATGTCCTTCGTCTCTGGTCAGTTTCGCTTCTTTATTCCGCTGTTTTGTTTGTTTGCTCGGAGAGAAATGCAAGAAATTCCATGACAACTCGAATTATCTGCTACTTTAGTTTTCCTTTGGTTTATCCTCATTGGATTGTCATTACATGATATGGCTATCAATAACTGAGCCACCTATAAAATTAACCAATTTCCAACGTGGACTCTGTGAAGAAAAAAAATGGGGGTAAGGGGGCATTAGTGGTGCTCTAATACGAATTGGAGATCATTTTTCCTTGTTTTTCAGTGGTTGATGCACGTTATCGTGATCGTGTTCTGTAATTTGATAAAACTCACTCCTTCTTTGTCGTCTAGGAAGAGGAAAATCAGCTAAAAGAGCGTATGATGCTCTTCTATTGGATGCGGGAGGCACACTTTTGCAGCTGGCGAAACCTGTAGAGGAGACGTACGCCTCAATTGGGAGAAAATATGGTTAGTTCTAAGGTTTTCTTGGTTTAGATCATCGTGCTCTACTTCAGATTCTGACAAGTGATTGTTCTCTCAGCTTCTGGCTGTGTTTATTTATCTTATGGAATTTATTACCATTATTTAGGTCTCACTGCAACTTCAGCTGAAATAAAGCAAGGATTTAAGAGAGCTTTTGCTGCTCCATGGCCTGAGAAGCTCCGTTACCAGGTGTATTGAATTTTCTTGTTGTTCTCTTGTTCCTGAATTGAGAAGCACCTTCCCATTTGAGTTTCATCAGTTGCAATATGAAACTATTTGTCAGTATAATATTTGCTATTCAAGTATTTTACTGACTTGCTCTACCATTTTGAATACCAGTATTTTTTTTAGTAATTTTCAGATCGCTCCAATGATCTTTCATTTGCTTTGCAAAGTCTTTTTGATTCCCAAGTGAGTTCTTTTTTGCTGTATTAATCAACCTTCGACAATATATAATGAAGTATTTGCATTCAAGCAAGCGAAGGAAATTATGTCCATATGCATTAAACATAAGTTATGGAAATAATGGATAATTCTTCATATGTTTAGTGGTTGAGACTTGTTAAATGGAATTCCTAAAAGTTCATGTACTTCTGGTAATTGGTGGAATATATTGTTATTTTTCAAGAAGCCAGTGAAATAGTTTTAACCTTGCTAGTTATGTTTAAAGTGACTTTTATTTTTATTTTTCACTGATGATGTGAAATGCTTTCCCCCCCTCTCTTCCTTCACCCATCCTCTCTGCTTTCCAAAGTTCTGAATGAAATAATTTCCTTCTCGACTGAATGTAACAGAAATGTTTCACACTCATTGTCTTCCATATTCTTGACAGGGAGATGGAAGGCCGTTTTGGAAACTTGTTGTTTCTGAAGCCACTGGTTGTGCTGATAATGACTACTTTGAAGAAGTGTATAAGGTAACTTTCATGGTACCCCTAATAGCAAGAGAGCTAATGGGAAATTTTAACTTATAGTACTATAGAATCCTTCAATACAGTCATTTTAGGTGTTTCTGACTAAAGTTCTATCGGCTGCCTTATTCAGTATTATGCAGATGGTAATGCATGGCATCTTCCAGATGGAGCTTATGAAACAATTTTCCTCCTCAAGGATATTGGAGGTTGTATTAAGGAAGCAGTGTCCTTTTAACTTTTACTAGTGTGTATACTACAAGCTCAATCTTAATTTGTTGTTATTTCCTCGTTTCTCTTATGTTGTAGTACAGTTAAGGTGGCTGTTGTGTCCAATTTTGACACCCGACTGAGGAAACTATTGAAGGACCTCAGTGTTATAGATCTGTAAGCCTTGTCTCTATCTCTGTTGGGAATCTTTCAGCTTCAATCATACAGGACTCTTCATTCTTCCAATGGAACATTACAGTTATTAGACTCTTCATAGCATTTCCCAGGGAACTCACTTTCTAATTATTCATTTAAATTTGTAGTCTATAGAAATAATAATTCTCCCACACTTATTACAAGTGTCTATTAGGTCACTGAGTGGAATATACTATCTTTAAAACAAAAAATTCTGGGGCTGGTTTCAGTCCTCTCCTCACATCATATTGTCAAATATATTATCTTTAGAACAAAATATTTTGTGGGTGGTTTGAGTCCTATATCATCACATGGTGTCTTGATATTTCTCCTGCTTTAGAGAAAGAAATTGAAAATTTTCATTCTTGACTTCCTTTCCATATATCCTGTAAACTGAGATATTGACTGATCAAGGGGCACTTTTTATGGGACTTATATCATGGAAAGTATATAGTTGGTCTCTTCACATGGTGTATATCATGTACAGCGATTTCTGCTTTTTTTTTATGGACGAGTAATATTTTGATTTCCTTTTCAGGTTTGATGCTGTAATTATATCATCAGAAGTTGGATATGAGAAACCATATGAGAAAATATTCAAAGCTGCCTTAGGTTTGTATTGTGACATCAAATTAATCTTCCTTACAAAGTGGTGAACAACATTTATGATTATTTTGTTGTGATTGCCTTACATTACCATTTGATGACTGGTTTAGGAGATTGGCAGCCTGTTTCTTGTGTCTGTATGGAAAACTGTCATGTTTGTTTATTTGTATGTAAAGGCATGCTGTTTTGCTTTGTATTTAGATGTGCTATGTTACATGAGTGACTTTAGTCTGTCATTTGAAGTTCAAAGTCATAAAATTGATAATTTTTCTAAGTGGCATGAAGGGCACATAACCAAGAATCATAGTTGATAGTGTAGGGTCAGTCCATTCTGAATTTTCATGTAACAACAGCATTCAGATTTACACTTGATGATGGCATCTCTACAATAAGTTCTAGGTCAAGGACAGGATATAGAATATTATGATATGGTTCAATTTCCATGTGAATGGGAAGTATTTTCTGAGTAACATTTAAATTGCACGTTCGTTGTTCTGTCCTATCTGTCTTAAAAATCATTTATAGACGAAAATGATCTTCACATGGTATGAGCATTGTTGTAGATCAAACCGGTGTTGAGGCTAGCAAGGCAGTGCATGTTGGAGACGATAAAAAAGCAGACAAGGCTGGGGCTAATGCTATTGGGATTGATTGCTGGTAAGTTTGATTTTCATTTGGTGCACCAAATTCAGTTATCATCTCGCATTGCATTGGAAACCTTTACCTCTATATGAAGTGCCTTGTATCTGGGGGGTGATGGTATCTCTAATTGTGGGCCCCTTAGAAGAAAGGGATAATTATCTTCGTCATATATTGAGATGAAGATGGCTATGATTGATGATGATTGATTGTGCTGTAATATATTTCTTGTTTTTTATTTCGGTTACCAAATGTGGGGAGAAACTTCAAGGTTAGAGTGGGAGATGTTGTTTGACCCTGGCCACATGAAGTCCCCCAAAAGGGCTAGTTCTACTTGCTCGGGCATGCACACCAACACTTAACATTGTTTTCAATATGCAGGTTGTGGGGAACTGATGTGAAGACTTTTTCAGATATTCAAAATCGCATTCTGATTCCAGAGTCATAGCTTCAAAATCATCTTGGTTGGACTCTGAACCCAAGTCTTATTGAGGTTTCTTTTACTTTTGGGTATTACATTGTTTTGACCTTGAAAGCATAAAACATCTTCACTTTGATCATAACACTGATGCAATTACCCAAACAAAAATGGTGATTTGACTGCTCAAAGGGTTGCTATATAATACATGTGAAGGAATTTTCCATATCATTTTTCTCTAGAAGGTGGTGATTCATGTAATAAGAAACTGCTTGTGATTGGAATATGTTGTATTCTTGAGGTAACCTGTATTAGGAGGCCATATTTTAGCCTTGTTATAATACACTCAACCTTTTTTCTCAAGTATAGTGGTTACTTTTTGAACTTCTCTTTACCCTGGCAAACAGGGGATTTGGATACTGAGTTCTTAAGGCTAAAATAATAGTTTGGTCTCCGTACTAGTACAGACAGAAAACTATACCGATACCTGGCGTGAGAAAGTAGCCCGGACACTTGTTTTGTTTCCTGTGGGAAGTTAGCATTGGCAGTTGCAATTGTACCTTAGGTGGTGAGTGGAAATTTGTTTTTCACAGTTTCTACAAACTCCATTTTGTTTAATTGGATATATATTTGTTCTAGCTTTTTACCAATTGCTGTGGCATGCATTGTTTCTATTGCCAGATTTTATGTCTGCCATCACTTACAGGAAACTTTTATTACTAGTACATAATCATAATTTCATGAGAAACTGGTAGTTTCACACATTCTTTATGGCCATTGAAGTTCCCCAATTAATGTCTGTTCACATTTTCTGTTAATGTATTTGAAAATTTGTATCCAACCTCATATTTTGACTATACCCAACTAGCAGTACTCAGTATCATGTAATTTTTCAATCTGTATACCTGTGGAGAGAGCAAAAGCTATGTAATTTTATTGAAAATAAAGAAAAAAAAATTCACTTTCTATTCATCTTTAAATTTAGTAAAAGAACAGATTTTGGGTGCTGATTTATTAGTGATTGAGGTCTGATTTTAAGAATTAAAGGGGAAAATTAGGATTTGTATCCTCTTTGTTTATCTACTTAATTGGATCTTACTGGATCATTCAATTAACATCACCATTTATAAATTAACCTTATAAATTTATATATGCATCATTCTTATTAAAACAATGTTTATATATATTATTATTATTAAGTTAACCTCATTATATTCTCATTGTTACATTTAGTTTAGATCAAACCAAATAATTTCAAGAGTCTTGATATCACACAAAAATTGGAAAATGAAAAGTTTATATATAGTAATAAAATTATATCTATTAAATAATAATAAAATTTGGACAAATATTCCGAACTATAACATAGAAAATATGAAACATAATCTTAATATTTTAATATACGTAAAATTTAATATAATTAATATTTTTACAGCAACAAAATTTAATATAATCTTAATAATTTATAGCAGCAAAACTTATAATGAGAACAAAATTCACAATTGCATTTGTTTCATTTATAAAGTTATTAAAAATAATTCAATTCAAATGAAATGTAAAAAAGTTAAATACTATTTTTTTTTTACAATTTTATTGATAGCTAATTATTTATTGCATCATAATTATTATTAGAAATTGATTTATTTTAATTAAAAAATTTATATTCTGATAGATTTATATTTATCTT